CCCCCCCCCAGCTGCATTTCAGTAATATCATGCATAGATCATCAGGGACTCTGTAATTTATACTGCAGGCTTTTAGTAATCTGCAAATTATGCGATTAATCTTACATTGCATAATGGTCACCAGCCGGGTGCAAGCATATTATGATCTATGCGTAACCTGGCAAGTACATTTCCCTTCTCTACTTGGCCTCCGTGGTACAGAGACCAGTCTTTAACTGCCGTAATTTAGCAAAATTCCGAGCCCAGCGATTTTTCCACTATTCTTCTACGTTATTCTTCAATGATTAAAATTTATTTAAATAAATTACCTGTTTACAAATGAAATTTTAGTTAAAATGAAAAAAATATTTAATAAAAACAGGCAGGAAAATATAATAATATAAATATAATAATCGAAATCATACTGTTCAATCTGTGTCCTGACCTAGAATGATCTTCCGTCATCCTTATTATGTATAATCTTAAGATCTTTCTACTCGAGAAAAGCCCATCTAAAAACTTGTTGAGCACGTAAATAATTGGACAGTTTATTTTTAAGTCGACAAAGTTCTTTATGAACATGTATCCAGGAAGGTCCTACTCACTCGAAATGGTTAATTCGGAACCTTGTTTTGTTTTATAATTGAATATGTTTTCGTTTCATTTGTGTACATTCATATTGTTTTCGTAACAAGGCGACGAGAAAATCTGAGGATTAGTCCGCGTGACAAACAACGAAGAATACTTCTTCGAATACAAATCAAATATCTTTGTTAAATTGGAATATGGAATAAAAGAAAACCCCTTGAACATTTAATTGGTACGATAAACAAAGTATGAAATTTTTAATTATTTATAAATAGAGAAAATAATTGTGTAAATAAAAATATAAGATGGGTTGAACGATTTAAAAAAAAAATAATCTCTTGATCATTTAAAATCTAACTTACTGATATCGACTATTATTTTATTTTTCTTTATTTAAAAGAAAAGAAATAAAAGTAAATTATTCCTTTTTGACAATATAAATTTCAATTTGACTAATTATGTTTTTCATAATAATTAATCTTACTGTTCACAGCTTTGCAATGATATTCGGCAAACTTAAAAAAATAGGAATATTTTTTTTAAATTGAATCGCAAAATCTGTTACCGAAAAAACAATTCAATAAGACCAATATTGATTTATAATTTTAAGACCTCAAAATTTTTTCCTCATTAAATTCAACCTGAAATTAAATCAGTTCTTTTCTTTAGACCTACAGGAAATACGACACGTCCGAAACTTTCAAGAGCTCTTTGAAAAGAAGTTGGTCGGATTGTATTTTATTTCTACTTACTTTTCTCTTTGTATTACCTTATCGAGAGAAATTTTCTTCTCCTGGTTTTATGCGCTGTTCAAGGGAAAAACCATTATTTTCATTTCCTCCGCTTGATATTTTCTTCCTTTCTCCATTTTTTTTTTGACGGGAAAAATTTATCATGGCCTCTCACATTTTCACTTATTCAAATTTCAAGAAACGTGATGTATATAAGAATCCTTAATTCACAGTGAATTTAATACACTTATATATTTAGCATAAAAAGGAGGCACACCTTATTTATTGCTTATGAATTTAGCATAAAAACAGGATAGACAAATAGTGTTATGCTTATTGATTTACCTGATAAGAATAGCAGACAGTATGTTCTATGTTTTTATATTTTATGTTATTTGTAGTCTAAGGTCTTAGTTGAGATGAAGTGCGTGACGAGCGGGATTCGATACACCACTGCTCTAAGCGCCGAAAGTCGTGGGTTCGAATCCCGCTCGTGACACCAAATGTTTCATCTCAATCAAGACCTAAGATTAAGAGTGTAATAAAATAATTAATGCGGTCAATTATGGCTACTATTTTTATATTTTGTAAAAAAAATGGCACATTGATCAGGTATAGCTTACTTATTCAGCATAAAAACAAGGCAGATTAGTAGGTCTATTATGCTTATCAATTAGGCTGTACAGCATAGCATATAACGAATTTACTATACTGATATACTTTGCATAAAACGAGGCCGACTTTCATGCACTATCGCCTATGTATTCAGCATAAAACAAGGAAGTCTTATTGGTCTATTATGTTTATCGATTTAGCTAAAAAGCATAGTAGACAGGGCCTATACTATGCTTATAAGGTATTATAACCAATACTACACCTCTACACATAGAGGTTAAGGTAAGAGCACTAACCAGCTGCTATAGATTAGTTAGTGAAGGCAGCTGGAACCAAAAGGGAAACAATATAGGTCACTCGAAAATTCTACATTTATTGAATAAGGTCAACAACCAACTACTAAGCGTTAGCGATAAAAAGGTTAAAACACCTTTAGGGAAAAAGCACTTTCAGGTAGTTACTCCCTGTGATTATAACTATGGTGCGGATGATGACCATCGTAGCCTAGACTGTTTCACCGATGGCAAACTCATTAAGGACAAGGGAAGCGGTGCTGGAATACACATACCTAAATTAGGGATCAGCATCTCCTCTCCTCTTGGTAATAACACCTCAGTCTTTCAGGCGGAGGTCTGGGCCATCAATGTTTGCTGCAGAACACTCATGGATAACAAGATTAAGGGAAAAGATATTAAAATTTTTTCCGACAGTCAGGCCAGTCTTAAGTCATTACAAATAGAGTTATCTACGGCTGGTAGAGGAAACCGTTGAACTTATCAATAGGATAACTACTAGGGACGAGAATAGGGTAACCCTCATATGGATACCTGCTCATAAGGGGCACTATGGCAATGAAGAGGCGGACAGCCTGGCCAAAGAAGGCTCAAATACTGCGTTTGTCGGGCCACAACCGGTATTACCCCACTCTATAAGCACAGCGAAACAGAGTATTAATTGCTGGGGCATGAAACAATTCCTTAAAGAATGGAATCTGTCCCCCGGACGTAGGCAATTGAAGGAGTTTCTGAAGGAAATCAAACCAAAAGAAGCGAAATGGTTATTCTGTAACTCAAGGAGGGGAATTAGGAGGCTGATAGGTATCCTAATGGGCCATTGCCCCTTGAGAAGACACCTCTTCATAATGGGTATTCTACCAGACCCCTTTTGCCGCTTCTGTGAAATAAAAGAAGAAACGGCTCGACACTACCTCGCAGAATGGGATAGATTTGAAACTTTTGAAGGAGAGGACATTGCTAAATCACTCCCCAAGATAAAATGGTTCAAAATCTTGGGGTTTGTCAACTGGTCCAAGAGGTTTATGCAGGACTCGTGAGCCGACCAAGTCCCGGACCTTTTAGGGATGGGGTACGAGTCTATCTAGGCATTTAACCCCTCGAGTCTTGGTCGTCCACCCTGCGTAATATATATATGCTTATGAGGTAAAGTAATTCCTGTTACATAGGAGAGCATAACTTCTACCCCTTTGGGTACTACTATGCTTATAATTATTTAGAGACGCGAGTTGTGGTCTGGTTTGTTACTGTGTTAATGCATTTTGATCGTGTTACGTATTTTTCTTAAGTATTTGACTTTTGGATATCATAGAGTACATCAGTAATTAATTTAGGTGTTGATACAACTGTTTTTTTTTTTTTGGTAGGGAATTAGATTTCGATAAGATCCATTATGTTTTGAGTTAATTAACCGGTCTATGTCCAGTGATAAAAGGTGGTTTGTTCATCTCTCAATAATAAATATACATCTATACATTTTAGTTGTTTTTTATTATTAAAATATTTCAGATTNATAGATATATAGATATACATGAGACAACGCTATTAACTCATAAATAAGGAAAAAAGAGAAAAATTTGCCATTTGTCTCGTCACTTAAAAGCAAATCTGTGAAATTCAATCCGTTTCTGTAAGTTTTAATAATACAAACTGACTATTTATGCACAGTAATGAAATGAAACTTATTTTTCATTTCTCTTCTTTATTTATTAACACCTGCGAGCAATTGTGCTGTAAAATAAATTTGATAGCATTATACAGCTTAAAACGAAACGAAGTGGACAAAAATTTAAATAAATTACCAAGTGGTAACTGGAAACGATAAAATTTACGTAATCTTATTTCTTTACAATTTATTTTGTTTTGTGACTGAGTTAGTCGAAAAAATATCGATTTCAATGGATGAAATATAAGTAAAGAATATTAAATTTATTAACCTCCCAACCTATGATTTTTCCAGAATTTAAATAACAAAAAGGTCGTAACATTTATAAAGAAAAAACATTTTATAAAATTCGGTGTTTCCATTAAGATATTAGGAAGAAGTGCGAGTTCAGTCCCCGACGTGAACGATTTTCCTCTTTTCTTCGATAATAATAAATTTATATATCTTGGCAATATGAAACTTTATTGGTTTACGTAATTTCATTTGTATATTTTATTTCGTGACTGAATTAATCCATGGATCTGCTTGCATGAATTTTTCAAGACGAAGAAAAGACAGGATTTCATCAGGAGTTTGATTAAATAATCAAACTCTTTAAAAAAACGACTATTTCTGGTATGTAAGTGTAGGTAGTTCGTCAACGGAAATTAACTATAATAATATATAAAAAAGTTTGTAGAAGGCTTGTTTTTTTTTTTTTTTTTTTTTTGTGGGAGTGATAAGTCTCATTTAAACTTCGCCCATCCCAGCCGAACCGATAAAACAATTATCTCTCGTCTGGAAAAATGCGCCGACACGAAGTCCCTTTTCCTGGGACAAGAAAAAAGGGCTTACAAGAAAAACGCATTTTCCTCCGATCATAAATAAACCCGGAATGTCGCGGGAGAAGTAGGAATATAGAAATTTGTTCAGATATCAGAATTATTGGCTAAAGGTGAAATAAAAACGGCATTTACAAGGCCGCCTGTTCAAATCATCCCTTTCTTATTTACAGACAACATGTTGGCATAAATGATTAAAAATATAGCAATAAAAATATAAAATTCTTATTTTTTCAGTTCATAACCTTGTCAGATTAACTGAAACGAACTGAGATTTATTTTAAACCTGGAAATTTTTATAAAATACCTTTCTTTTTGATTTGGCCATTCTCATATCTCTCGATGTCTCGGCCTCGCCGGGCGTTGATTTACCCCAAACTACAACAGCTATGCTGGTGTAGGTGTAGAGGAGCACCAGAAGCGGAACTACGTACTGGAGGCTCAGCAGTGAATACGAGTAGAGATGGCGAGCGTCGTTCGAATTCCACACTTCAGCACAGACATACCTGCATACAAACACATACCGAATCAAATTCAATCCTGTACAGAAAAAAGTTTACTCAAGATTTTTTTTGTATATCCATAATAATATATATATAATGGTCTAACTGAATACAGGAGAAATTGCCACTTATGACTTGTCAATATGGTTACTATGACCGACGTTTGATAGTTCTCTCTTTTGCCAATAAATTAAAATTTGACCTGACTCTTTATTTTTTTTTTATTTATGTGTCACGTTTAGATTTGAATGTACCGCCATGCCCCTCCACACACATCTAACAGTGAAAGGAGTAGGGGCTAGGAAAGGGCTATTTTTTTCAGTCAAAAAAATAATTCCCTTTCTGTCCTCCGTAAGTTAAGAGCTGTTTATTTGTAATAAAGAAAAATTAGGTGTGCACACAATTCAAGTGAGTAAAGTTTATATTTTGACGTCAAAACAAAAAATAATAATTATATTTTAATTTAAAAAGGGTTGTAACAAAAAATATATAAAGAAAACTAAAAGAGATAATATTTGATTTTAAAAGTTATGTTAAAATATTAATTGTATTTTCTAATTGGTGGTCAAAATTTAATAATAATAACAATAATAATAATTCATTAATTTCGTGGTCCGCTTGACCAATTAATATATTACAATTAATTAAGGATTTTAGTTGAGGTAAAAAAAGTCAATGGCACGAGCAGGATTCGAACCCACGATCTTCGGCTAGATACGCCGTTGCTCTACCACTTGAGCTATCGTGACCTCGATCCACTCGGACACCAACTTCCCATCACAACCCCACCTTTTGAATTTTCCCTCCTTTTTGCCATTTTGTAAAAATAATAATAATTTCCTTTACTTTTACTTTTCTTTATAAAACGAGAATTAAATTCGATTTTAAAATTAATGCTTCTAGATTCTGAAATAGATTTTATTATAGAATGAAAGATTCTTTAAATTAAAAATAATAATTTGGTAATCTTATTTGAAAATAAATTGTAATAAAAGATTTAAATTTAATTAATATTTTAGTATAGTATTTATTTTGGTTTGAATTGAATATTGAAATTTCATATATCAAAAAAAGAATCTTAATTGTATTTTCTAATTGGTGGTCAAAAAATTAATAATAATAATAAGTCCTTTTATTTTTACTTTTTTTTATAAAACGAGAATTAAATTATATTTTAAAATTAATGTTTGTAGATTCTGAAATAGGTTTTATTATAGAATAAAAGATTCTTTAAATTAAAAATAATAATTTGGTAATCTTATTTGAATCGTTTTTTGAAAATAAATCTTGTATTTATTTTGGTTTGAATTGAATATTGAAATTTCATATATCAAAAAAAGAATCTTAATTGTATTTTCTAATTGGTGGTCAAAAAATTAATAATAATTTGTTTATAAAACGAGAATTAAATTCGATTTTAAAATTAATGTTTGTAGATTCTGAAATAGGTTTTATTATAGAATAAAAGATTCTTTAAATTAAAAATAATAATAAAAGAAATTGTAATCTTTTTTGAAAATAAATTGTAATAAAAGATTAAAATTTAATTAATATTTTGGTGTCGTATTTATTTATGTTTGAATTGAATATTGGAATTTCGTATATCAAAAACAGGTGCCTGATCATTAAATTAAATTAATGTAGTCAGGTCCGATCATAAAAAAACCTCTGGGACCTTGTTTTCGGTTCTCCGAATTCAGGGTTGGGCCCAAAACATAAGAGACACGCTTATATATGTATCATGCTCATAACAAATAAAATTGAACTTATAGAGAAAAAAGTTGCTATTTGTCTCGTCACTATGAGTACGTAAAAGTATAAGAATACTGCCTTATATCAAAAAAGTTAAGTGATAAAAACTGTTAATTTATGCCTCAATTATGGCGAATATCTCTTACAAATTATGACATCTGTTAAAAGGAACGTAAACTCATAAAGAAGGAAACAAGAGAAAAGATTGCCATTTGTCTCGTCACTGGTGACCACAGTCGTATACACAGTATAATTATATAAATAATATAGAAGAGAAAAAAAACGAAATTGCCACCTGTCTCATCACTGTGGTCCCTTACGTATAAATTTTAAAAATTCTATCCTTTTTCAACAAATTTTAATGATACCACTGAGTATTTGAGCCTCAATTAAAATTAATATTTAAGAGATGCTTCTCGTTGCTTATTTACTCCTTGTTCTTGGATGACCCTATCCTTCTCCAAAATAGTCACTTGTTTCTTCACTATGGTTTCTCGTGTGCAAATTTTAATGATTTGTCTTTTTTCAAAAAAAAAATCATTGATACAAAATAATAGCCAGTTTGTATCAATATTTTTTTTAAAGAAAAGAAATTGCCTCTTGTCTCGCCTCTATAGTTACTTCTGCGCGAATTTTATGAGATCTGTTCTTTTTTCAAAAAATTGTATTCATAAAAACTGGCTATTTTCTTCTAGTCCGGAGTCGCTCGTATACTTGGCTATAATAATTCTTCAGGATCGTGCCTGTCAGGGCGTTGCCCGGCTTGGCTAAGAAACTAGCCGCGTAACTAAGGGTAAGCCGCTCTCTCTGGAAATCGGGCGGCAGCATTCCCAGCTCGCAGCAGTCTGGCCAGGGGGCTAGTTCTAAACGCACCCGATACGAAGACCCTGATAGCCTGTCGAGCCGCGTCTTTCGGGCCGAGGAATAGGCCACACACATAGAACAATCTCGAGCAAAGCAACGCTTCAAATACTTTCAGCAAGGTCTCTCTGTCCGCTCCCCACCTGAAGTGACCAATATGCTTTAGGAGTCCGAGAATTTTCCTGCAGCGGACTTCGACAGCTTCGATATGCGACTGCCACCTTAACTTTTCATCGAATATGAGGCCGAGGAACCGCACCCCCTCCACGTATCGAATCGGCGCGCCCCTAGGCAGAGACGAGGTGAGCTATGAGCCCTCCTCAGTCTACGGAAGTGGACGCACACAGTCTTAGACGAGGAGAAGGTAAAACCGGCTTCCTCAGCCCTTGCAGTCACAGTGTTGATAGATTTCTATCAAAATGGTAAAAACATAGATCAATGAGAACGCAGTCCGTTTTTGATATGATATTATTATTGACAATACTGTATGAGGGGTTAGACAGAATAAATAGATAGGATGAAGAAGAGACAGTTTGTGTAGGAATACAAACGATCGGACAAATAAGTGAGAAGAGGATACGAGGAAAAGAGGAATAAGACATACAAAAATTTATAATGAGAGAAAACACTTTTAATTAAACTGGCCGGTACAGGAATAAAAATCTCTCAAAATCAGGAAGAAGTTAGAAATGGATGATAGATAGAAAAAGAGTACTCAGAAGGAAAAGAGATTAAGAGGATTAAAGTATTGAAAGGGGGATTTTATTTAAATCACCAGATGCCAATTTGACGTTGTAATAAATGTTCTCTAAAACCTTCCAAGCGAAGAAGATTCCGACAGAACAAATGATGACAAATTTTCACATTCACTCTGAAATCCTTGCCTTGAAATGCTGATGTTAATTTGTAATTCCAAGTTAGAACTCGGCTCCTTTAAATTCAATGTGAGTGATAGGAGGTTAAAGGGGAGAAGTTTGAATTTGAACCTTTATACTTTAATTAAGAGGACGAATAGGGAAAGAGACACCGTAAAAGATACCCTATATTTATGAGGCATGCGGCGCGCATAAAGTGAAAAATTACTCTAAAAGTTAGATAATGTTTGCTCGTTCAGCGGGTTGAACGAGTGTGAAGATACACGTTGTTTAATGTACTGAAAATTTCCTCGTAGTAGATTACAAGATTTTTCCGTGAGATGGTTCAATAGACTTGTTTTGCGGCGTTTACTTCCTTAAATTCTCGTTCGACGATAAAACCACGTCTGAAACCTCATCAGAAATGAATGGGGCGGTAAGGAATAAACGATGTGATTGCATACCGACCTCGACCTTGTTTATATTGTCCTGCTCTGCTTAACTGTATAACTCGATAACCAGAAGCTGAATGTTTCATTGCTATCGTTTTAATTTGTATTACAACGTCTGGGTTTAATTGGAACAGGTGGGAAATTAGGCATTCATTGGATACAAACCTCGACGCAAAATCATTCACGGTGTGCAATTCCTCACTTTTAATTTATTTTGCTGTTACATGAATCAAATAGTTTGCATCTATACATTAAAAAAAATAACGTAAATATAAATTATTTTGTAACCTTTGAAATTTAACAAATAAGGAAAAAATTACCACTTGTGACTTTTCGTTATGAACGCAGATAGACAGTCACGGGACCAAATTTGTTCAGAAAGAACTGAGACGTAAAATGCGAGTAGAATTTTGGACCTTCGGAAGTTCGGAAGCAAAAATAAAAATTATATAAATGTCAAAAGAAATTAAACATACAAGAGCGAAAAATACTCCAAGTAGTGATTTTTTTAATAAGGTCATTTGTCTACATAACTTTCAATTAAATAAATTGTTTAGTTGAGATAAAAAAGTCAATGGCATGAGCGGGATTCGAACCCGAGATCTTCGGCTAGATATACCGCTGCTCTACCAATTGAGCAGTCGTGAACTCGATCCACTCGGACACTAACTCGGACTAACTTCCCATCTCAACCCCACCTTTTGAATTTTCCCTCCTTTTTGCCGTTTTTGAAATGTCGTGTATGTATTTGATTCTCGGCGACAAATTAAATGGCAACGGAGAGCTTTAGTGAAGGTATACTCCGTTTAAACTTATTAAATTCACTAGTTTCGTGGTCCGCTTAACCAATTAATATCTTTCAATTAATTAAAGTTTTTAGTTGAGATAAAAAAGTCAGTGTCACGAGCGGGATTCGAACCCAAGATCTTCGGCTAGATATACCGCTGCTCTACCACTTGAGCTATCGTGACTTCGATCCCTCGGGCACTAACCTACCATCTCAACAGCACCTTTTGAATTTTCCCTCCTTTTTGCCATTTTCAAAAATTCAAAAGGTGCGGTAGAGATGGGAGGCGAGTACCAGAGTCACGATAGCTCAAGTGGTAGAGTAGCGGCGTATCAAGCCGAAGGTCGTGGGTTCGAATCCCGCTCGTGACACTGACTTTTTTATCTCAACTGCATGGTAAATGAGTTTTCCAAGAGACAATTAGAGGAAGATGCAAATGTGCTCACGTTATTTTTAAAGGGTGCAAAATAAACGGAAGAGTGGATTGTGCCGATGAGATTATTGAAATACAGCTTTCAACAATACAGCAACGTAATTCTGTCTAAACAGCAGAATTAGTTGCGATAAATCAGGGTTAGGAATAAACACTCTCTCCATCCAATAATCACATTTCGATTTTGACAGATAGTAGAAGTGCACTTCAATTTATTGCTAACGAGAAAAATATATTTTCATATAATAGTATATTTTAGCTAATTTAGAGAAATTGTATGCCCAGCATAAAAAGGTCCACCTCGCTTGGATCAGAAGCCAAGTGGGGAATGAGGGAAAGGAGAGAGATGAGTTAGCGAAGAAAGCAACAACATCTGGGATAATTATTGGGTTGTCCGGAAAATAATGCAGGATTTTAAGTTTTCATTAAAAAAAATCTATATAAAATATTCTGTTTACGTTTACAGGATTACTCATTTGTNTTGCTTTAAAGTAACTAGTTTCTTTTTTTTTGTTTAATACCAAAATCCTGCATTATTTTCCGGACAACCCAATAATTAAGGTTTTTAGTTGAGATAAAAAAAGTCAGTGTCACGAGCGGGATTGAAAAACGGCAAACAGGAGGGAAAATTCAAAAGGTGGGGTTGAGATGGGAAGTTAGTGTCCGAGTGGGTCAAGTGGCGTATCAAGCCGAAGATCGTGGGTTCGAATCCCGCTCATGACACTGACTTTTTTATCTCAACTAAAAACCTTAATTAATTGAAAGATATTAATTGGTCAATCAGACCACGAAAACTAGTCAATGTGTACATAACGTATTGGTACCAACTAGTCATTTATAAATCAATTAACATATCAATTCAATAATTTATCATATCAAAAATAATTTAAATTATACAAATCTGAGAAAAATGATCACTTAAGACTTGTTACGACGTTTATTATGTGCAAAATTTAACATTTCTATACATTATCAACAAATTGTATTGGTAGAAATTGATTAGTTATGCTTTTGATTACGTTAAAGAGCTATGCAATTATATAATATATCCATAATAATATAACTGAATGTCGGGGAAATTGTCATTTACGACTTGTCAATATGGTTACTATGAGCGACGTTTGATAGTTCTCCCTTTCGCCGACAAATTAAATTTGACCTGACTGTTTATGCTAAAACTAACATATTTTTCATTTATATATCATACCCATAGCAAATAAAATTAAAATTGTAGAGAAAGAATTTGCTACTTGTCTCGCCACTATGATTACGTTGGAGCAAAGTTTAAGAATACTGTCTTATATCAACAGAGTTTAATTATAAAAATTTATGCCTTACAACTGTAAATTTATGCTTCAATTAAAGCAAATACCTAACAAATTATGACATATCCGTTAAAAGGAAATTAAACTTATAAAAAAGAGAAGAACTTGCCACTTGTATCGTCACTATGGTCACTTACGTGCAAATTTAAAAATTCTATTCTGTTTTCAACAAATTTTAATGATACAACTGAGCAATCCTGCCTCAATTAAAATTAATCTTTAAGTAATGCTTCTCGTAATTTAATTACTTCTTGCCCTTGGATGGCCCTTGCCTTCTTCAAAATTCTCACTGCTCTCTTCACTATACCACTATGTCTCATAACTCAGATCTTAACTAATTGTCTCATAACTATGATTAATTAAATAATCATTATAGAAATATAATTTTATAAATAATCAAAAGCAGGTGCCTCTTTTTTTAATCTTCGTATCCTAGCAATTATGATTTTAATGATTTTATCCTTTTCAAAAACATTTATCGATACAAACTGACTAAGGCAAATTAATATAAATATCTAAAAAATTATAACTTGTATACATAATAATACAATTAAACCTATGTGGAAAGGAAAAAAGAAAAAGGTGTCACTTGTCTCATAACTATGATTAATTAAATAATCATTATATAAATATAATTTTATAAACAATCAAAAGCAGGTGTCCCTTTTTTTAATGTTCGTATCCTAGCAATTATGATTTATATCAGAAATAAAATATAATTTGAAATTAAACTTATATAGAAGGGAAAAAAAGAAATTGCCACTATGATTACTACTTCGTCTAAAAATTCTATCCTTTTTCAACAATTTTATTTTCAACTATGACATAATTATTTTAAATATCTAATAGAAGAAAAAAGAGAGGAGAATATGTCAATTTGTTAGCAAAATCTAAGCTGTATACATCTAATCTAATTTTATTTTATTTTATTTTTTATTTTTTGTAGTCTCGACCCATAAATGACTTTTGTATACCACGTTCTTGGTCTAGCAATAAACTGTGATTTGAAATATTTAGGAAATTGTACTTTATTATTGTAGTAATTATATTAAACTTGTAGGGAAGGAAAAAAGAGAAGAAATTGCCTCTTGTCTCGTCTCTATGGTTATTTATATGCGAATTTTAAGACTTCTATTCGTTTTTCAAAAAATTGTATTCATCCAAATTGGCTGTTTATGGCACATTAATATAAATATCTAAGAAATTGTAACTGTTCTACATAATAATAAAATTAAACATATAGGGAAAGAGGGGAAAAGAGAAGAAATTTCAACTGTCTCGTCGCTATGGTTACTTATGTGCAAATTGAAAAAAATGTATAGTTTTTCACCAAATTTTATTGTTATTAACTGGCTATTTACGGCATAATTATTACAATTATCTAAGAAATTATATTTTATTGCATAGATCTTATAATAAAATCAAATTTATAGAGAACAAAGAGAAAAGAATTTGTCTATTTCAACTGTTTTCTTCTATGTAAAGTATTTTATCAATTTATTCACAAAATCTAAGCATCTGTAATCTATTTAAAACCAAATTTGCCGAGAGAAAATAAAATTCAAATAACGACATTTAATAAAACGTGTGTACTCATGGCCAAAATAATTAATGAATGTACTGCTTAGTCAAATTAAAAACATTATTACANTATATATATTAAATAGTAATCGTTAGGGGCTTGTAAGTCATGTTAAGTTTTCGTTTTTTACGTCTAGCACTTTATTTCATTTTATTTATTTATTTTTTGTGGCTTCTATTCATTATTGACTTTCTATGTTTTTTTTTCCAAATTATATTCATAAAAACTGGCTGAAATTCTGTCCTTTTTTAACAAGTATTATTGATTGAAAGTTGCTGATTATGGCTCAGTTCCGATAAACAGTTTGCAAATTATAAATTTTATTAATACAAATTTAAATAAAAAATAGAGTTGGGAAATTTTTGAAAAACAAAGATTGCCGCGTTGTTAGGATGTCCGACTTTACTTTGGTTTATAAGGCAAATTTAAATTTTAAACTTTAATCTGTGTGTAAATGAAATTTGTATTGGTTTAGCCTGTTTGAAAACTTAATTTTCTGGGCGAAAAGAATTTACAAACTATTAATATAAATTATTATTTACCTGTCACACTCTTCGTGCCATGGGGAATTTAACGGTTTTTTCAATTTGGTCACATAAGATATAGGCAGTGCTGTGGCGACGGCGATCAGCCAAACTGTCAGTATGATCAGTTTCGCCATTGATTTGGACATCCTTGGTTTGAGCGGCCAAAGTATCGCCATATATCTGTCGACACTGATGGCTACAAGTGTATACGCAGATACCTGAAACATAGAAAATGTAATGATCAATTTTTTTTAAACAGAGGGTTAATTATGAAATGAAACGTATGCTTAGAAAAAAAAATCAACTGTAAGCTACATTCTAACTTTGTGGCATGCAATATCCACCTTTGGTTCTATTGCAGTAATCAGAGACTCTTGATCACTTCTAAACCTTGTAAAAGTTCAGGCTAATTTGATTGATCCAAACGCCCTAGAGTTTGAGCCTCGAATTAATTCACCTCAAATCAGCGATTCGTTTTATTCGCCGCCTAAAATTCATCCCTAGGACTAAAATTGCGACGTGGTAAATTGGATCGAATTGTGGTGACGGTGAAGACGACGGGAAATGTCTAAGTAGCACGACTGGTTTAACATCATAATTGACGTCTTGGACGGATCCTATAACTGGAGTTGTCAACTTCCGTGAAACGAAGCTTCGAAAGCGCTTCCATTTAAGTTGGCCTGATGCTTAAAGTTGACGCAAACCCTTGTTGCGGTAACTTTGAGAAGTGTCGACAGACCTTGCGAAGGTCGTTGTTCGACCATCGGCCGGGAATTGATTTGACCTGTCTACGTATGAAAGTGTACTTTTTTTGTGAAAAATTCCCTTCCAAATCAAGATGTCAGTCAATTTCACGAAAAACTGAGCCCCAAGATGAAATTTTCCGGTTTCAGCTGACAGCATGAAAATCCATTTGTACATGTTGGTTTCTTTCATTTTAAGTAGCATTTTTATACTTTTTATTTATTATCTCAAATGAGATAGCAATTTAATTTTATCGATAAAATAATACCAAATTACTGCAAACAAGATGATACTGCATTACAAAGTGGACACAAAAAATAAATAAAAACTCAAATTCACTAATTTCGTGGTCCACTTGACCAATTAATATATCACAATTAATTGGTCAAGCGGACCACGAAATTAGTGAATTTAATGAATTAAAATGAAGTATACTTCACTAAAGCTCTCCGTGGCCATTTCATTTGTCGCCGAGAATCCAATCCGATTACACGACATTTGAAAAATGGCAAAATGGAGGGAAAACTCAAAGGTGGGGTTGAGATAGGAAGTTGGTGTCCGAGTGGATCGAGGTCACGAAAGCTCAGGTGGGAGAGCAGCGGCGTATCAAGCCGAAGATCGTGGGTTCGAATCCCGCTCGTGCCATTGACTTTTTTATCTCAACTAAAAACCTTGATTAACAAAAAATAAATAAAAACCTTCATGCATGGTACCATTTCCAAGTGTGGTGATAGTAAACTATGCAAAAATGAATAAGGTTATTTGTAATTTATTCTTATTCTATTAATTTTAATTAACAACGGATATATTTTTGTTAGTTAGATAAAGCAAAATAGAAAATACAAACCAACAATAAAAAAATTAGTTAATCCACATTTTTAATAAGAGATTTTCTTAAGAGACACAAGGCCTTCTGCACCTCTACCTGAATAGATCTATTGTGCTCCCCTGTTTTTTATAACTCACTGGCTCCAGGTTCTTAATTATCCTCGATAGCTTTGCCAGCTGCTCCTTAGTGTAGGATCTTACATGAACCTGCACCTACACAGACCTTCACAGAAACATAAAATATGTTCTGCGTAATATTTCTTCTGACTGCACTCCTATCCGGTGCATGTGCCTTTTTAGGCGATTATGTCTTGTCAAGAGCCCAAGCAGAATCCTGGTTCGGTTGCTGTTGCCTTCCAGTAATTGTTTTGTACGTTTTGCCCTTCTACGAATCTCTTCGCGCACCTCATACCTGTGGTTCCACCAGTTTTCGGATTTATCAAGAATCCATTTTAAGATGTATCCTCTTTTGTGGCAGGAAGCTAAACCACAGTAGAGTTCAGGTCCCACTGTTAGCCCACTCTTTGGTCAACATGTCAACCTTTTCCTCAATGCCCCGAGTGCCCTGAGAGCCATACCACGGGGAGCTCATTGGTGTCACTGACTTCCGTCAGGACCTCCAGGCAGTTCCAAACACTCTTTGCCTTCACCTTGCATGAGGCTAGGACCTTTAGTGCCTGACTGTCAGAGAAGATGGCTATCTTCCGGGAATGAATTCATAGCCTTTTTATTTCCTTGGCGCAGTTGTTAACCTCTATGAGTTCAGCCTGGAAAACGGTAGCATATTTACCTAGGTTTTGTCAGTTCGGTCTTTGGGTTCATTTGCAAAGACGCAACTCGACGCAAAGGCAGTTGGCGTTTCTCAGAACATGGTCATACCTTCCTGCAGCAACAGCCCACTGCCAGCAACTCAGAAGAATATTAGGTGCAGCGAGCACTTAGAAGAGAACAATTGAAATGCTTGTTATGTTTACTGATGAGTCGCATTTCTGCCTGTATAATGAGAGCAGAAGAAACTGGAACTCGCAAACAAGCATTTCAATTATTGTTCTCTTCTAGGCGCTCGCTGCATCTATTATTCTTCTGAGTTGCTGGCAGTGGGCTGTTGCTGCAGGAAGGTATGACCATGTTCTGAGAAACGCCAACTGCCTCAGCGATCTCTACTTGCCGGTGACCTCGATGACTTATTCTCACATTAATATTGCAAACTTCTGGTTCAAGATAACGTCTTTCCATGGTTCAAGAGAATACAACTGTATTAAAATGGGGAAAAGACGAAAAAAAGGATCTATTTACAAAATGAGTAATTTTCGTGTTTACTAATCTTAAGTAAATCCTTTATTAAAAATAAAGATTAACAATTATTTTGTTCGTTTGTATTTTCTATTGTGTTTTTCCACCAAACAAGAATATATCGGTTAATTTAATTAAAATTAATAAAATAAGAATAAATTATAAAAATCCATATTCATTTTTGCGCAGTTTATTTCACGAAGGAATAGAAAGATGAAAACTAGGAGAAAAACACACAATTCATCCCACATGTGGTCTCTGAAGAGAGAGATATTGAGATCATCAAGACCTCAAGTGTCTGCTCACAAAAGCTGGCACGTGTTTATCATCTAGGAAAAATTTCTTTACCTAAGAAATATTTTTTTAATATATATTTTTTTAAAAAATACATGACACATAATCAGCATAATTTTTAGCAGTTATAAGTGTGTGGTGATTAGTGACCTTTAGTCTATGATTATTTGGAAATCGCGAGATGCGGTCTGGTATGACGTAGGTTTCAGAAAAACATTTTCTTTATCGTGCTAACGTTTCGATCTTTATTGAGATCAACTTCAGGGCAAAAAAACATATTTTTTATATTCACTCAAAGATTTTTACTCTTTTATTCTAGTATTTCTACTTTGATAGAATATAAATTTTTTCGCATTGTTAAATTCACTTTTTTCCACATCCTACATGTATTTGTTAAAGTTAAACAATGTTTGTAAATCCCAGGCCCTGAAGATGATCTCAATAAAGATCGAAACGTTGGCACGATAAAAAAAATATTTTTCGGAAACCTACGTCACACCGGACCGCATCGCACGATTTCCAAATAATAACAGTTATAAAATTTCTTTAAATTTAGATCATTTAGCGAGTCGGACGTGGAAAATTTGATTTTCTCGAGAGATTTGGGCTTCCTAGGACGACGTTAATAAAAATGTTTCCTAAATATTGGTAGATCAAATTATAATTGATATTTTTATCAAATTTTATTAATCACTATTTATCCATCTAATTTCCAATTGACCTTTCTCATTTCAAATTAACCCTTTCTTTAAAGCATTACAAAAACAACTTTGAGAAGAAAATATGAAAAATATAAGCATCCAAAGTAAAATTCCTGTATAGTTGCGGATTTTTTAAAATATAAAATGACGGAAAAATGAATAAATATAAATATTTAATAATATAATTATACAGTCAAAGACAAAAAAACGGACATTTATTTGTTTATTGTCCATAATAACTAGGTAAAAAGATTAATAGTTGACTTAAAACAGAAACGCAACATTAATAACTTGAGTTCACTATTTTTCGTGGTCCGCTTGTCCAACTAATATCATATAATTAATTAAGGCTTTATGTTGAGATAAAAAAGTCAGTGTCACGTGCGGGATTCGAACCCACCACCTTCGGCTTGATACGCCACTACTCTACCACTTGAGCTATCGTGACTTCGATCCACTCGGACACTAACCTCCCATCTCAACCTCACCTCTAGAATTTTTGAAAATGGCAAAAAGGAGGAAAAATTCAAAAGGTACGGTTGAGATGGGAATTTAGTGCCAGAGGGGATTGAAGTCATGATAGCTCAAGTGGTAGAGTAGCGGCGTATCAAGCCGAAGGTCGTGGGTTCGAATCCCGCTCGTGACACTGACTTTTTTATCTCAACTTAAAGCCTTAATTAATTATATTAATAATTTGTTTACCTTTTAGTGTAACTAATCCTTTTACAGTTTTAAAAATAAAGAAAATCAGTTCAATTTGATCCTTTATAGAGCCAACTTGTCGAGTAAATTATTTTTATGAAACAACAAATTTAAGTAAAAAAAATATTTTTTTAAGAACATGGTTTAAAGTTGAGATCTCGCCCGGGCAGATGCTTTCGCCGCGTCCTACCGTCCACGATGGTCTACAGCGGTAGATGACATCGATGTACGACGGCTACAGACGATCTTTGCACTAAGGAACCGTCATTTAAAGCCTTCCTTCATTGGTAGTCAACTCCAACAGGTCTATAATATAAGTGTGAGCTATAAAAACAGAAATCAGCAGGCTTCGTGACAGTAGTCTCTAGGCTCAACTATTAGGAATGGCATCGAGTAGAAAGGCGACTATTCGTAAATCTTCATCTTACTTGTCTACTTGGGGGCTGTTCTCTTCACAGATGACCCGGTTTGGTTTGTGCCAATCAGACGACCAAGACCGTTTGTGGAGAACGCTTTGTTTCATGTGCTACGAGGAATCAGGCCACTTTAAAGAGATTCGGTTATGATACGGGTGGAAACAACGTCCATGCCCGTACCGAACTGATTATTAGGATGGATCTTCAACTGCACTATAGTACAATGAAGTTCTTCTGGAG